CCCCCGGCGATGCAGGGAGATGGCTTCTACCTTTGCGCGGCTGTGCCAGCAGGTGGACCTCACGCAGAAGGAGCTGGAGGGCGAGATCAGCAGGCTCACCAACAACATCGAGCGGCTGGCAGCAGTCCAGAGCCGGTCCAAGAGCCTGAGGTGAGCGTCGCCGTCTATTACGGACAGACTGAGACGTCGACAACGAAACCTGCCTTCTGTTTACTGGACGTCCCTTCCCAGGAGACCCGAAAGAGCAGTTTAAAGATCCTTGTGTTTGACACTTGACCTCGACCTGTCTCAGGCATCCAGTGCTCGCCTGTCTTGCCTTGTACATGCCCATGCATCCCTCTGGCAATTTTATTACAGCTATTCTGCTGCTTTTCTCACACCACATCGCTCTGCTGTTGGAGGTGTAGCCACGTCTCGCGATACGTGCAGTTTTACATGACATGACAGCTTGTGCTGCTCATCTGGCTATGTTCCAAAATACAAAAGCAGTTGCTGCAAATGTCGCTGTCGCTGTACGTAGCTACATGGTTTTCAGGGATCTTTCTACTGTAATAAAGCCGTGAACACTGTCTGCCGATAGTTCTGGTTAGTAGGCTGGCTCTCCTCCCAGCCAGCCTGAGACAATACTGTACAGGTGAGGACCACAGGTCTGCATCACCCTGTTGCAACTTTCATTTTATACCCAAATGCCACCAACGCAGGGCTCTCGGCTAGCTTTCTGTGTCAGGTTATTGTCAACCCACTTTTTGGATGCTACGCTTTTCTTTTAGGCACAAGGCAACGCGACTGGAGACAGAGCTGCAGAATTTCACCACGCAGTATTTACAGCCTGAGCAGTAAGTCTCCCCACCCCAGGACAGAGGACGCGCAGACTCTGCACACCACCGCAGGAAGGAGAGCTCTTTTTATAGCAGATTTTATTTTTCATCAGAGAAGTCTGTACCAAGAGTTCACAAAAAAGGATTACCCACCCTTTCTCAGTAAGCCCTTCAGATGTTTTTGTACCTTTCTACTTTTATCTCCCCTCTAGGATCCTTAATAAACCTAAGGTTGAAACGAAACACACCTGAATCACACAGGTCTGAATAATTTTTCAGGTATAATGTGGTGCTTTAGAGAAGAGCTTTAATACTTTACAACAAGCTAAATTACCAGAGTTCAAACCCTGTTTGAGCCGTTTTACAGGTATATTCACTTTTGAAGATCATTGTTATCGAAGTCTGATTTGAAACAGGTGGACATTTCCAGTCCTGCACTGGTCATTGGTCTGGCATGTCTGTAACTACAACACATGGAGCTGTGCTCTGGCTCGTCTTCCAGCTGGTGTCCACAAGACCTGAGCAGTGATTTAAAGACTGTTTCTGCCACTGCGGATCATGGCTCTACCCTGTAGTGCTGTAACCTTGAGCAGAATATGTGAAACCTCAATCTGGCTTTTGAGGGGCCATAACCTTCAAGGTTAACCCCAAGGTGTGCTCAGTCTGCCATATTCACTGTTGTGAAAGTCAGTTTTTGAGAAAAATAAGGTTTGTATAGAACTGTTTGATTACCACAATTGTATTTTATATTTTTTGGTAATGGTTTGTACAAGCATGAGCTGGGCAATACTGTAAAAAAAAACTTTTTCTTCTTTGTGAAAGTCCCATCTATTATTGCTTTTTTTCGGTTTGAAGAGCCACTGTAGTTACCTCTTTATTTATATGAAAGAAATTTAATTAAAGTATCAAATTGTTAAAAGCGCATTCTTTTTTGTGGTGCTGGGAATTATTAGTCGATGAGCCAGAAGTGGCTGTTTTTTTTTTTGTCCCTTTGGCCTTTACAGCAAGAAGTAGTGCACGATAAGATAAGATGTAGCTGCCAAAAAACATTTGAAATTTGTAATTGAAAAAGGATTCAGAATAACAGACTTCCCATCACTAGATGTGAATCACAGTAAGAGACTCGGCCTTCTCTGAGAAGCAAGGATGTACCACACAAAGCACTTTTATTTTTTAGTGGTTTATTTGCAGGTGGATTTCTTACACGTGTGCCTATCAGTCACAATCTTATAAAAGCTCTGTTGCTACAAATTTGCACTGAAGAGTATAAACTTACAATCTCTTAACATAGTGAACACACTGAACACAACAGCCTTGGTTAAAAGCTTTTTCTTTTTTTTTTTTTTATTGGTTACAATATCAAGTCATGGCAACATATCAGTATCACCGAGCCACTGTACAAATACAGAGAAAAAAATCTGTTGTGGAAAAAAAAAGTTATCTGGTAGCAGGTGATTATAATTATTTCACACAAGAGCACTGTAAGAGAAAATGGTGGCACCAAGTCCCTGGTTCTGACTGGCTCAAAAAAACATTGGAAAAATAAAAAATAAGACTTTGTTGGGAGTACATACAAGAGCCAAAAGGCAGTGCATTGTTACTAAAACAGTGTTAATGTTGTGGTAATGACGCACAACACGAGCAATGGACAGCCAAGCTTGGACAGTCGGCACCTCGGCCCTGTGCTGTCCCCTCTAGCCCCTAAAGCGCGACCGTGTATGTCCGGGCTGCTCGAGGCCAACAGGCCAGGCAGGCCTCTGTCCATCAACCACAGCGAGGAGGAGGGGGTGATGTCTGCTAGATGAAGCCCTGGAGCCTCTGAGCCCTTCCTGCCCTGCTGCTGTGACCACCCTTGCTGGACCACAGGTCTGGGATTAGCTCCCTCAGGTAGGGGCAGGCCTGGGGGGGGGGGTTGATGTTGGGGGAGACTAGTCCCAGATAGGGGCAGACTGGAGTAGGTGGGGTCAGGGGCAGGCCCAGGGCCTCTGGGAGGGCAGGGGTGGAGTCAGGGGTTGGAGTCGCCCTCGAAGACAGGGACTAGCCTCTCAGGACAGGGGTGTGCCCCACTGACCAGGGCCCTACCAATATTACACCAGGAACCAAGGTAAAAAAAAAGGGGGTAGCCCACTGGAAAAAACATTAAATGCAGTTATTGAAAGGGTCAGACTAATACTTTCCCCTCCCTTGGGATCTGCTTTCACTGAGGGAGGCAGCCCGGGGCATGGGGATTAAAACTGACCCCACCCCTCCGTCTGCGAAACCACACTGCCCAGAACATGGAGACCCCTACGTGTGAAAATCATGTGGCGGTCCAGAGAGGACGAGAAGGCTCTATTGTCCGTCAATCGAACGCCCGAACTCCCCTCGTGGTCTCGACCTCAAGGGTCTGGATTCAGGTCTTGCTTCAGCCCTACTGCTGTGCCCCCCCTCTCACTCATAAAATGGGGTTTGGGCCATTTTTACCCCCCACCCCCACCCCCATGGGGAAACTAGAATCCCTGATTGCCAGACTTCTTGCACACGACAGCGGTGACAACAGTTTGCTTTGCACCGCTGGGGGGGGGGATTATTGAACTGGCCGCGCTCTTATTACTCGTTATTGCAGAGGGTTGACGAGCAGGTCAGGTTTTGACAAGAGCGGCCGGAGAGGGAGCAGTTCTTGAAAACTGGCCTCAACAGGACCAGGAGGCCCTCGTTCTGCATGAGTCTCCCACTGCCAGCCTCCCGCCTTGACAAAATCAAACCCTTTGCACCTCAGGCTGCCCAACACTGTCTGAACAAGCCCAGTGATTAGCTTCCTCGCAGCAGATGCATTATAAAGTGGTCAGTGATGTTTTTTTTTTGCACTGAAGTACTGTTCAGCGCCCAGCTGTACCAAAACCTGGTTAAACTGATGACCATCAACAAGGTGGAGAAAGTAAAAAAAAAGGCAGAAATGCCATCTCTTGGTCCAGGCTGAAAGGGGCTGTTTTGTGTTGTGGCAGAGACGGTGTCTGATCTTTAACAAGGGCGGGACCAGTTGAATAAGGCTCCCGGGCCCCTTGTATTCAGTCAAGTTGGTGGCAACGATGGCCAAATCTGCACTTACATCGTTATCCACCAGGGGGCCTCGCAGTCTGCTTGCCCTTCACCGCAGGCTTTGGCCATTTCTCTCCGAGTGCCAGTCTTGGACACAACTGAGTGATGCTCGCAGACGGAACAGGGAGGGGTTAAGGGAGCAGAGGAGGAGGAGGCTGAAGCAAGTATTTTTCAACACCCCCCACCATCATCATCAACAACACGCAACTCCGAGCGCACCATGCCAACGGGAAGACGTCAGCTGCCTGGCCCAGGTACGTACGAGCGGGAGAGGGGAACCGAAAGGGCCGCAGGAGGCGTGTGAATCACATGAACTGGTATAGAATTTGAGCAGTAGGAGGCAGGACTTAACGGGACTAAAGTGAAACCTTGAAATGGCTTATGACGCAGTTGCTTGAATGACTAATTTTGTTTCATATTCATTTCGAGGCGACCTTGGGTTGGCATGAATGACACCGGAGGGGGGGCTCGTCTTCCGTTTCAAATGCACCAGGGATGTGGGGTACCAACCTCACCCCCCATGTCATTTCCCCAGCGCCCGGGGGGGAGGCCCTGCAGCACACTGTCTGCACTCTAAAGCAGGGGTAAGCCCACAGTGGCCCCAGCCCTGCCGCTTGGCAAGTAATGTTGCTTTTCTTTCATCATTTACACACGCTTCCATAACCCTTCACCACAGCTACATAAACAGGTCAGATAAAAAAAAAACTAAAAAGTGATCTTTGCATGCCTTTGTCCCATTTCTAACAAAACGCTGTGTGTTGTACACGCATATGTAATGTGATTGATACCCTTTTATCATCGTTAGAACTTTAATACTGTTGCATTATTTAACAGCAAACTGCAGTATCCAACATCACACAACACTAGACACAGCCCAGGTCATCCCAGGGTCAGAAAGGCTCTGCTTTAACACTGGCCACTTGACCAGGGAGAACCCAGCTCTAACCCTACACGAGGCAGGGAGTTTGAGAAGAACAAATGTTGCTTTCAGTTTTTAAGGCCATCCTCTAATGTGATTCAAAGAAGAACCTCCAGCAAGGCCACAGCTATACAAGAGCTATTAGTAAGACTGAGCATGGTTCTGTAGTAGGTTTAAAGGCAGAATTACCCATGAGAGTTATTTCTATTGAACTGAACTGGATATTCACCACTGCACCTTAAGCAAAGAGCTGTGCTGGGGCCCAGCTGGGCATTCTCGTTAGATGTCTTTATCATTTTAGGCAACTCATGAATTTAACTTCCAAGTATTTAACACATTCAAGATACGTTTATACTGGATCAGCATTAGGGCACTGGTCTTTCTGTTCAGTCTTGTAAGCAAAAACATTAATACAAACAGACCTTAAATAAGTGGCACAAAGCAGCTGTTATGTAATTCCACTTCAGTGTTCAATGAGGGTATAATTTTGGCACAAAGCGTAGCCTTGGAAAAAAAAAAGGGCAGGTTGACCACACAGTACGGTAAGGATCTTTTCAACACTGAACCGCAACACATCTTACATCACGTTTACCTAAAAGCATCTCTTTCTGGAAAAGCCACGTTCTATCGTCAATCTACGCAGATTTGTTTTTTTCCCGGAGAGTAAAAAATAATTTGGGAACGGTTGGCTAAAAACACAAAACCGCAACTAATTATACTACCCGACTGTAAAAAGGATTTCTTCATAAACAATAAATACAATAACCGTGTTCGTCTAAGTGCAGAAAGCAACCCAGCTCTTCAAAAGGAAAGGGGGCTGGAGGAGCGACGGGAGGCACCACTCCGAGCGGGAGAGAGCCACCCCTCCGCTCGCCTTTCTTACACCTGGGCCTGGCGCTGCACGCGGACACGGGCCGGGCAGACGCAGGGCACGAGCCGCCCCAACGAGCCCCCCCCGCCGGGCGACGACGGGGGGCTGGCGGCTGAAACAAACCCCACTGCTCAGGCCACGGTTTCGAGAACTGCACCCGCGGGACGGGGGTCCTCGGCCGGGTTCTGAGCCGCTCCGCGCGGGTCCTGCACCTCCGCTCCTCATCGCCACGAGGGCCGCGCCGGGCTCTCGCCTTTACCGAGCCAGCGCGCACGGCGGTAACGGGGAGGGGAGGGGGGGGCGTCTCGGCGAGGAGCGAGCCAGGAGCGGCGCCCGGGGGGTAAGAAGCGAGAGGGAGGTCCTAAAGCAGAGGCCCACCTCAAGCGCTCTCCACGGTCAACAGCACCGGGACGGGTCGCCTCCCCAGTGGCTCTGAACCGGTGAGGTGGACATTCCTGGGGGACGGGGGCGGACTCTGTTTAACAGTGCCGCGGTGGAGCACCCGAGAACCGACGGGGACAGGTCACAAGCGCCCCCTGTTGGAGGAGCGGCTGTCCGCACCCCCGGGGACGGTCAGTCTGGACCAGCCCCCATCGAAACCTTCAGACCGTAAGGGGAAGGTCTCTACGTCGGTATTCCCCTCTTCTCAGCGGGAGAAGGGAACCAGACCTCTGGGACATTCGCTGTGCAAGTGGGCCTGGACTACAAAGACAGAGCAGTCGATTCATTATTGCAAGACACACCACTAGCACTTCTAACTTCATGTACATGGTGTGATACTACAATACAAACACACACATTCAATTGCCCCGTCTCCACAAAATCCAGCCAAATGCTTTGTCCAGGGCATACAATTACCATCTGCAGGTGAAGCAGGTGAAAGGTCATTGTCTCCCTCTTAATATTCTGTTAGGGGGTTACTGATCAGTATTGAATTCATTGACCACTGGTCATCAGTTTCAGGCAACCAGGCAACTAAAAAAAAAAAAAGACCGGGCTAACCTCTTTCAGAAAATACTGAATTAAATCTATAAAAGGACAATGGATGTTTTATATATATGCGTATATATATAAAAAAAAAATCACCGACAAGCACATTCTGATTGGCTACTATCAGGTGTACATTCTGATATGTACAAAAAAAAAAAACACTGAGCGAAGCAGAAAAAATAAATCAAACATTTAGGGAGTGGGCAATAAACAAAAGAACTATATATAAAAAAAATACATATATATATTTATATAACAATGACTGGCTCCTAGCTTCTTGGTCACCATGGTAACATGCTAGCCCCTGCCAGATGTCAGTGAACGGCCAGGGTTAATTTCTCATGTCCTCCTCTGCCCGGACTATGTACTGCAAGCCTTGTGTAGTAAGTGAATAGAAAAAACTTCACCTGGAAAGGTAGAAAGAATGTTACTCTCGCACAGCCGCGGGCTGCGGCAGTGACCCCCCCCCTCCCCCCGCCTCGCGGGGGGGGGCCATGTGGTCCACCCCCCCCACCAGCCGCGCCCGCCAGTTAGTTCCAGATCCGGAGGAAACTGTCCCATGAGCCCGTGGCTACAGCCATGCCGTCGTCCGTGACCCCTAAACAGCTCACTCGGTTGTCGTGGCCGGCGAGGACACCTGGGGGGGCAAGACGGAGAG